CGATGGGATGGAAAATCGTGAAAACAACTAAATACATAGACGTCGTTGGATAATCATGACTAATCCCTTGGAATAGAATATAATCATGCAGGAAACAAAAATACGTGACCCAAGAACAATCGCGTGCAAAGAAACTTAGATGCCTATCAGAATAGACAACGCAAGCCAGTAAGGTATGCACAATGAGAAGACGAGAGCATAGATTTGATTGAGACTCAGGGTAATAAAAGTATTATAATAACCTACGCATTAACGATCTGGAATTGGGTACGCCAATTATTTGAAACGTTTATTGGCAGAATAAGTCAACTAATAAAGGAAAACTAACCACAAAGGGCAAGTCTAGCTTTAACCAGATGTAAGCACATGTAGATGAAATAAGACAAGACAAGCAAATAAGAAATCAGTAATACAGTTTTAAAAAGCGATTAAACGTTATCTACATAAGAAAAACATATACCAGTGAGGCGCCCACTTTGAATAGAAAGGAACGGACGCAGACGGAATCAACGGTAGTATAAAACGCATCAATACAAGATAGTCCATAAGAATTTATTCCATAAACCTAACTAGCTGGTACAGTAATAGCATTGAAATTTATCTTTTCAATGATGCTCTGGGGTGGCTCGCCGTCAACTGTACAGCCGATAGACCTTGCTGTACCTAGAAAGTGTAAATAATAATCCACATTATACCTAAGACTTCTTTTACTGTTCCGGAGAGTTCTTTAGCCATGCTCCTAGGACGCATACTCCGTGCTATGTCCAAAATATCCTCAAAGGATAAATTTCCATTATGTTTTATATTTTTAACTTTTTTCTTATCCCGAATAGGCTCCTTCAGGGACCTGATAAGCAGGGAAGCAGCTGAGGGAACCACACTAACAGTGGCCTGGCGGTTTTGTATTGTTAAGCGTACAGTGATCCGCAGCCCTTTCCATTCGGAAGTTGCTTTGGCAATGTCGTCCCCAACCATCTTCGGGGATAGGCCAAGTGGACCAACCTTTGGGGCGAGGGATGATGTTGCACCCACCTCACCTCCCGTAACTCTCAGATAGACTAAATATTATTAGGAATATAAGAGAGCAAAAAACATACCAACGGAAACTACAGTGGGATCTAACTTTGGAGGCATTACGGGAAGGCCAACGTGAAAAGATCGAAACAACCGGGTCGGGATCTAAATATGGGAAATAAAAATATCAAAAAAGTTAACGAAAAACAAAAATATTCTATTAGCTAATAAAACTAGTGTAATATAAAATTTGAAATAAAATGTTTGAAAAAAAGTGAGAAAGTTTTTAGAGCATGGAGAATATCTCAACATGAAAGACGGTAGTACACAGCAAAATAATGTTATAGCTTATCCTTATAGAATTTATAAATTATAACAGCATCGATTGTG